TCTTTGAAAGAAGACGTTCAAAATGGCTTTCGTGATGAAAAGATGCGGTCAAGTCTTGGCTTCCAGTTGGTGAAGACCGCAAGTCTGTACCACTTCTCTGTTAAACTTTATTCAAAACACATCCGAATTCATTCATTCTCTTTTTTACTGGCAATACATGTCTCTACCAGTACCGCAGAAAAATCTCCTGCTTATATCCGTTTGCCCTCTCCCTGTAAAGCAATGAGAGGAGTCGCACTGAAAGTATTTCCTAAAGGCATGAGATCCACTAGACAAGTCTGAACGATGATTAGCATAGATCAAGTCATATTAATTGTTTGTCCTTGACTGTGTCGTTATCGTGCTTATCTACAAATTAGCTATTAATTGATGCGTTCTATGTAGAAAGTGGTTCTTGTTGAGCTTACCAGGGACTTCTAGAGAGAAATCCATAAGAGTCCATAGGAGTTGAAAAAGTCTTGACTTTTTCTCAAATCAAGCTCAAAAAACACGAAAAAAGAATCTTCGGAAAAAAAAAAATAGTAAGAAAATAACTTTGTGATATTCGAGTATTCTGATAAAACAAAGGCAAAAGAAATGAAGAAAAATCTTTCATGTTTCTGTCGAGGTTGTATGAGAAAAAAACGAAGTAAAAGCAGCAAATGCATGAAAGCAAAATGCACTTTTCATGCTTTCGACTTTTTTTACAACGGCGAACCTCAGTGCTGATCTATAGTGCTTTTAGTAACAAGTGTTAAGGGCATCTAGTCTTTTTGCAAAAAACTTACCGAGAACATTCGGTGATAATTGATCCGCTAGAATTTGTTCATATTTTTGTACACTCATTTCATAATGCAGTTTATTTAAAATCACTTTTGCTTTGATCAACCCTGCTTCTGGAACTTTTGTTTGATAAAATCGAACTTCATGTACAACGTCAATGTAATGTGGCACAAGCTCATCATACCCCCGATTCGTACCTATTGCACTACAAGCCATGGATACAATGGCAGCGCGTGCCAACACGTCTTGCAGCGAATGTCGTTCAATCGGGCATACATTGTCGTGGGTTTGATCGTAGAAAAAGGAATGGGCTATACGAGGCAGGAGAGGTTGAATAGGGGATAAGTGGAAGAACGAGCCCATGGTGTCGTAACCGTAGTGAGAGAGAAGACGACCAAGTTCGAACGTATCCCATGCTGTTAATGATTCTAAAAGGAAGAACGAAAACGAACAGTTAAAACAGTCGGCGGAAGATCGTATGATTTGGACATGCACAACTTGTTGAGATTTTTTCCTATAACACGATCTTAAAAAATACGAGCATCCCAAAATTTTACTAGTATCACCTCTCAAACTTTTTTCTCCCTAGGTAACATAGAAAAAACATTTTTTCCCAAAGATGAGTTTGGTTTTCAAAGCGTTCCATCACATTTTCCTCTGCAACGACATTGTAGCCTACAGACAACTTCGCATGATCGGTAAGATGATCCAAGATTTGTTTAAAATACTATCGAAACCTCACCCTAACCCACGTCTCTTTACTCAGGTTTCGTCACTCGTTCGCTTTTTCGCCTGTTTACGACCCTAAAGCCATGTCAAAAACTATTTCCTGTACTAGATCGACCTGCTTTTATGAGGATGGACAAGTTATTCATTTGGACTGAGGAAGGTTATTTGAATTGTTGAGTTCTTTATTATGTTCCTTAATTATTATTAGAGTATACGCAGCGGACAATTAATGTCAGGCTCAGTAACCCTCATTCTGAGAGCAAATTTTTGCCATATTAAACACTGTAACTGACTGCTGTTTTACATACCTCGGACAAGTGAATTAAGTCCTAGTTTGTTACAATACATATTATCTAATTCTTGTTTTCCTGTAAATAATTCCCCAAGCACAAAAAAGTTTGGATTGATTGTGCGAGCATAGTCCATCATGTACTAGAACAACAAAATGCACAAAAACATTATGGACATTGAAATAAAAACAAAAACAGAAAGTATGTATTGCCAGTAAAAAAAAGAATGGACTTGGATGTTTTTAAATCAATTACCTATCAAAATTTATTCAAAAAGCAACCGATGCTCTTGTATTTTGGAACGGATAGTAGTGTCTTAGTAAAAAGCCTATAAGAATCTCAGTTCTTATTACTTCTTTCGAAAGTTATGGAATTTTTTGTATTTTTCCTATTGAACCATGGGAAAATTAAAAATTTCATAGCTCAATGTAAATACGAAGTAAAAAGTCTGAGGTAGTAAAGGTCTGAAAATTTTTCGTGAATTATTCAACTAACAACCCCAAATATCGAGCTTTTCAGAACATTCCACTCCATATTTATTGAATTTTAACCTTACTTTCAAAACATGAATATCAGAAAATTTCGATTACCTCAACGGATTTGTCGCTAGAAATTACTTCAATTCGAGAAGTTTTAATCATTTTGGATTGGAAATAACGATTTTCTAGCATTTGCAGTGTAAGATGGTTCAATGGCGAACCTTCAGTAAACCTTAAAAACTCAATAACTATGGAGTGGAATGTTCTGAAAAGCTCGATATTCGGGGTTGTTAGTTGAATGATTTACGGAAAATTTCCAGACTTTTACCTCATATATACATTGAGCTATGAAATTTTTAATTTTCCCATGGTTCAATAGGAAAAATACAAAAAATTCTGTAACTTTCGAAAGAAGTAATAAGACTGAGATTCCTATAGACTTTCTACTAAGACACTAGTCTCTATGTATCGGTAAAAGATCATTGAAATCGGAGGGAGCCCCGGAAGAGTTTCCCTGGTTCGAAAAGTTAACAAAAGTTACAGGTAACACAAAACGTCGTTTTGGGTTTGGTTCATCAGAATTGTGAAATACACAAACAAACGATCGGGCTCAGAACCGCACCTCAGCACAGCAGCAGAAAACCATCAGTCTGTTCATACCACAGGTCTTTTCTGCCACTCTGTAACAAAGTAGAGTCATATGATAGAGACTTCTACACGCAGAAAAAAGACCCTTTTGGGCAAAAGCTTTTTCTTTTTTTTCAAAGCTAAGTAAAATTGAAGAAAAGTAAACGAATCTTACTTGTGCGACATGAAGTGGTGTTGAATGACAGTTGTCCAACCGCGCTCCGTGAAATGTCGTGGCAATTAAACGTGTATATTCTTTCATATAAGACCAAAGATTGGGCGAATCTTCCCATTTAGCCCCAAAACGTAATTTTATTATATCGGACCATTGGTTTAACTCACGACGAAAATAAACCTACAACAAATTTTTAAAATCACATACACACACACAATAAAAATGTATAGAAAAATGAATGGTTAGACGTTGCATCCAAACGAGCCTGGTTCAGTTTTCCTTTCGAGAAGACAGAAAAGAGCTGATGATAGCTGGCTTTTGTGCATGAATTACAACTTTTGAGCTCTTTTTAAAAGGCAAGTGTAATACTACTTTACAGATTCTTTTCTCAAAGTCTGTGAGAAAAATCGGCTGTGATGGAAACTAAATGCACTGATTCCGAGATTTCGGGATACAAAAATCCAAGCATTTAGAAGTCCCTATAGAGCGTCTTCTACCTAATTTATACGTTTATGGCACAGAAGGGGCGCCATCAATACTGCGTTACAGATTACTGAAGTCAGATCGCAGCCGGCCATTTATTCGATCGTCGGCACACGGGTGTGAGCCTTTTTACTTACATTCGGTCGCTCTACATCTTCTGCAAAATTTTTTAGCGGATTATCATCCATGACCCATCCATTGTGTGCCATACAATATTTCAAGAACTGTTGGTCATCTTCCATAAACATTTTTTCCACCACATCGGGATGTGTAAGTTCCGCAGCGGATGGATAGGCAAAATAATTTCCGACGAACGGTGTTTTCAATGAAATTTCATGATAGTGTGGGCCAGCTGGATCGAAAAAATGATAACGTGCTGCAATACATGAATGCTTAACGGCATCACGTAAGTCTTGTTCACACGATTCATGTTTCAAATAATTTAAATAGTAAAGCCGTTCCTGGAGTTGCTCACAGGCACGATCAACATCGTCAGTTGATTTGTAGTAAATTGACATGGCAAGTTGGAGATCGACCGTAGCGCCCATTCGTGAATAGGTGTTATAATTGACTTTAAGTTGGGATTCAGATGCATGACTGAAATGAATAATATTATGTAGAAATATCAGTGTGATCCTGTGCTGGCGAAATGTGAGTCCACCCTACAGTAAATGTTATAGATATGAGGAAGAGAAGCGAAATTAGATATGATATATCATCGGCGAGAGTCTTTTTCTCCCGACGAACTTAAATTTAAATCTCAAACATTCTTTTGTGGAACCCAACGGAGGGTTAATTATTTATAAAAAAAAGATAAATATCTAATCCTAATCATATGGCTTTTCTAGGAACGGACCATGAATGTACACCTATTCATCTGTGAACCTCCTTCCTCAACCCGCGGAAATTCATCCGAATGAACTGGAGCTTTACACAAAACCGTATTTCGGAGATTAGATTCTTCTGTCCCGAAAAAAAAGAATCATCTGCAGCAATGACATCGAAGACATTCTAGAAACCAAAATCTTCTATTTTCAAAATCCATGAACTTCAGAAAAACCACGTTTATTGTTTTGAGAAATAGCGTGTAAGTTCACATAGGGGAAAAATATCTGAAAAATTTATCTCTTTCGCTCTCCTCTCAGTTAGAAACGGGCGTACGTCACCCGCTTTTTTTCAATACACTGAGGAAAGGGGAAAACTTTGAGAAAAAAAGGAGCAGAGGGACACAAAAAGCCTTTGCAGACTTACGGGGGAACCACTCCAGATGTAACACTCTGTTTCCAGTTATTTATGTGCCAAACGTTAGAGGATAGTGAGCTAGGAAAAGCCCTAAAAGGATATTGACTCATGGTACTTGTTTCAAAAGTTATGAACTTTTTTCTTTGTCTGTGCCAGGGAACGTACTAATACTAAAAATTCCCTAACTTAGTCGAAACAGCGAAATAAAAGCATTCTGATATTGAAGAAATAACTTTGGAAACCAAAGATGCTAAAATGAGAAACAAATTGTGATTAAACATATTTGAATACGCTTGTAACATAGAAGAAAGTAGCGGAAAAAAGAGTTAATAATCCGAAAAAGGAAACGCAACTGTATTAGCGCACGGTGATATTTCGTGAAGAAATGATTGAAATATAACATTTTCATATGATCCAGGGCTGTTTTTCCAATAGCCTAACTGATACCCTGTATATACGAAGCTTCTCAAAATAGATACAAATTCGTCCTAATTGGCTTTCAACAGATCAAACAACATCAGAGGGGGCATAAAAAACTGTATGTTTCTGCTACTTTCTTCTATGTTGCAAGCGTATTCAAATATGTTTAATCAAAATTTGTTTCTCATTTTAGCATCTTTGTTTTCCAAAGTTATTTCTTCAATATCAGAATGCTTTTATTTCGCTGTTTCGACTAACGAGGGAACCTCTTGAAGTTATAAATCGCTTTTGAACTCGGACTACTTGTATCTTGTAGACTTCAGTGAGTAGTGAAATACCCTAAGTTGATTCATCCCCATGGTGCTTTGTTGCTGAGATATTGAATTTTTAGTCAGTTTTTGCCTATAGAGCTTGAATTTCGAGCAAAATTCGACTTTCGAATTTTGACATGAAACTT